TATAAAGGCCATGCAACATATCTCTATATTCCTAGCACGTATAACAGAAACTGTATGCAGATGTTAAAAATTGTAGGCACATGGTAAAATGCACATTTCAGATTTTTGGCCTCATTTTGGCTGCACAAGTTCAGGCCATTTTCACTCCTCTCCACAGTGAAAGGCTGTGAGAGGTGTACTTTTTCTCTCCACATGCTAATGAGGCCATGGAATTAATGCACATGGATTGTTTCACACCTCACTGGTGTGTGTGTGTGTGTGTATGTGTGTGTTCCTGTTCCCTTTTGATGAGTAAATATGTACTAATGGAACCTTTGCTGAACTGTTTCACAAAAACTGACAATATCATACTGCATTAAATCAGACATATATACTAACCATATTGTAATGTATTTAATGAGAAGTTTCACTTTCCAATATGTCAATTAAATGACATTTTCACAGCTTTGTAAAAAAATTAAAGAATTTTTTTAACTGCATACTGTATAGTATCTCTGGTATTTCCTAAGACATCAGTGAACTCCTGTCTTATAAATTATGCTGTTCTGTATATCAGGGGTATTCAACAAAAATTTGTAAAGATCCAGTTACACAAAATTCCATGTATACCAAGGTCCAGAGAACTGCACAGGCATGAGTGAATGTCGACAATATGTGGTTATGTTTTGTATCATAGTGGTGCTTCATGTGATCATTTTTGACTAACACCAGGGATAAGACATCTGTTTTAATCTTGAAGCGGAGAATAAACGCATACTAGTTTTTCTTTAAACATTCATAGTCAACTTTTTTTAACAAACCACTTCAAAAATCTATTAAAGACTGTGGAAATGCTTTCCTTTCTAAATAATTTACGTAAATGCATGCAAGTGGATTTTTCATATAAAATACAGATTTTTACATACACATACTGCAAAAGTTGGCATCCCCTATGGTTTCTGGGTAAGAAAAAAAAAGACAATGTGTATTTTACAATTTATGTCCAATGTAATTCCAAGGCTGAATATATTACTTTTCAATATATTACCAAATATATTGCCTACTAATACAAATATTACCTCATCTTGGCAATCTTTAGTGTTAATGCCAAATGATCTTGAGAATAAATCAAATTTCCATTTGGAAGAAAATGGAGTTGTGTGCTGCCAACAAGCTGGCAGTTGACTATGGCACTCATTTGTAGATGGCTATTTGGACTAATATAGCAGGGTCATTAAGGAGCACTTTAGGTAGGAATGCTGACACATCAGAGAGTTCCTGGCTTGCAGATAGAAGCAGGACAGTCATTATTCACCAATGCATCCTGTCCATAACCCTCTTAGCAGCAAGATCCTGGTGTGTTAATGCCACAAGCTTGCTCTCCTTTGCATCATCTTGCATTTTTATATAACCTCACTGGCTAACGGTAAATACATTACCTAAACTCTCTTCCGTATTTTCTTTTCTGTTTTATATTAGAAGCCGTTGGGTTTGAGCTTTTAAAAACAGCATGGTGAGCAATGAGGAGAAGAAAATATAAAAGTTCATTAAAACTGCATGACTACCATTTTTTTCAAAATATGACAGGTTATTATGCATTCTGTCGAGCTGTCGATGCTGCTGCTGAGGTGTGAGGTGGAGCTGGAGCTGCACTGGCATGCTGGCATCTCTTCTATGCATTCAAGTTGGCACTCGGTGGATTGACTCTCAGATACACATTTCATCAGCTCTGCCTAGGCTGCCATGTCCCACATGCCAACTGGTGGATCAGGCCAAGGCTACCAGACGCTTCTTAGATAAGCCAAAACATCCATCAGCAAACTCTGCACTGCCATCGATCTCTGTCTCTATCTCGATCCCTCATCTATGAAAGATTATGGTTCACATTTAGGAACAAATTTGACAAATATGAAAAAAGATCAAGGGGTGTGGGCAGGTGGGCAGGTCAAAGCATGGCTGTTACGTGGACAGAAAGGAGCCACAGCAAGAGCGTTATGTACTGATTTTGGTATTCAGCATTTTCAGCAAGGCCGTATGAAGCATCCGGCCCAGACAAACAGCAATGCCATGCTTGAATGGCTGAAGCACTGTGGGAGTTCCAGAGGCAACCTGGTGAATTTACAAGCCGTAAATGGTGTATTGAAGTGAGAGCCTTTAATTATGCAGGGTGAAAGAGCATGTTCAGCAGTGATCAGGTAAAGTGAATCGACTCGGCGTGGGGCGGGGGAGTGATGCTGCTGACAGAGTAGCGCAGAGCAATGGAGAAGTCCATACATCAATATCAGGCCACTTCATCAGTCTCTCTCACTTAGCCAAACACTAAACCCACTCATGCGTCTCAGGCTGAGACTGATGGACCGGTGGGACCAGGAGAGTTGTTGTTTATGTGCGTTTTTAGATGTGTGTGTGAGACACCATATCCCGTGTGGAATGTCCAAAAGGGACTGTTGGCCACTGTGCTATTTGTTAGCGTGCAATGATTTTTGTTAGGAGCCTTGAGAAGCTGATGAAAGGAAAGTAGTGTCATGGGTGGCTGGTCTCCAATTGAGAGACTCTAATAGAATTTCCTGAAGGACAATGAACCTCAAAAAAGAGAAAATCTGTTGATCTTTTTTTATTATTTGATTAATCATTTTTATTGTTTGAATGAGCACTTCACTCTATCACAATCTTTCAGTGCATATTTGATACCAGTGAGATTTCCCAGATACAAATTCATATCAACACAGTACATGGTAATGAACACTTAGTTATAATGATGTGGAAAATTTAAAATGGTTGAAACTGATAAACGGATGTGACAATGTTCTTACATATGCACAAACTGGTATGCTTAAGCGTTATCCCTTTTCCTGGCGGGGGACGTTTAGTCACGCCTGTATTACTTAAATAGATAACAGAAGTGGAACGGTATGGTCTATTATACCATATTCGTGTGATACATTTGATACGTTCGTATGATAGACCATACGGTTTTGATATGAGGCTCTCAATTTTATACATCTGCATATCAAATAATATATTCAGCATCATAAAGTTGCTTATTCATCATAAAATACTGCTTATATGAAAAGAGGTGCAATAAAGATTTAAACTTAATTAAGCTCACACTCCCTCCTCTGAAAACTCAATCAGACGAGGCTACAGGGGGCTTGTAAAAAATAAAACGCTGCTGCTAAGCTTGCTATTTTTCACAAGCCAACCTGCTAGAATAATAGGCTACTACCAACTAGCATATTAGCACCTACGTTCAAGCAGCAAGCAGTAACTGAAAGATTCCCTCAAATCTAAGATCTGGTGTTTGGGAGCACTTCCTGGTAAATTATGATGCTGATGGCCAGAAACATTACAGTGTGCCGAATCCGGCAAATATGTGTACAATACACCAGCACTCATATCACAAACCTATAGCTCAAAAATCGACCTAATTTTAATATTGAAGCATTAATGAACAATTTTTGGTTAACTCCTAGGAGAGAGGAGGAAAGTGTATTTCATGTGTAGTCACATATTTTTTTCCCCACTGCTCTCAGTGGCAGTAAACATGTTTATGTGTTTGACAGATGTAATACACTCACTGTCCACTTTATTAGGAACACCTGTACAACTGCACTTTCATGCAGTTCTCCAATCAGCAAATCATGTGGCAGCAGCACTATGCAAAAAATCATGCAGATACAAGTCAAAAGCGTCAGTTAATGTCCACATCAAGCATCAGAATGAAGGAAAAGTGTGATCTCTGTGACTTTGACAATAGCAGGGTTGATGGTACCAAATGGGCTGGTCTGAGTATTTCATAAACTGCTGAACTCCTGGGATTTTCACACACAACAGTCTCTAGAGTTTACACAGAATTTTGTGAAAAACAAAACACACTTAGCGAGCGACGGTTCTGTGGGTGGAAACGCCTTGTTGATGAGAGAGGAAAATGGCCAGATTGGTTCAAGCTGCCAGGAAGGATACAGTAACACAAATAATCACTCTTTACAACAATGATGAGCAGAAAAGCATCTCAGCATGCACAAAACATGGATGGGCTACAACAGCAGAAGACCACATCAGGTTCCACTCCTGTCAACCAAGAGCAGGAAACTGAGGCTATCATGCACACAGGTTCATCGAATATGGACAGTTGAAGATTAGGGGGAAAAAAATCACCTGGTCTTTTTCCAGTCTTCAAATGTCCAGTCTCGGTGAGTCTGTGCCCATGATAGCCTCAGATTTCTGGTCTTGGCTGACAGGAGTGGAACCTGATGTGGTCTTCTGCTGTTGTAGCTCATCCACCTCAAGGTTTGATGTGTTGCGCATTCTGAGATGCTTTTCTGCTCACCATGGTTGAGAAAAAAGTGCTTATTTGAGTTACTATAGACTTCCTGTCAGCTCAGACCAGTTTGGTCATTCTTCTCTGATCTCTCTCATCAACATGGTGTTTCAGCCTGCAGACTCTCTGCTCACAGGATGATTTTTTTTGTTTTTCGCACCATTCTGTGTAAACTCTAGAGACTGTTGTGTGTGAAATTCCCAGGAGATCAGCAGTTTCTGAAATACTCAAACCAGCCCATCTGGCACCAACATCCATGACCATGGTTAAAGTTACAGAGATCACACTTTTTCCCCATTCTGATATTTGATCTGAACATGAACTGAAGCTCTTGACCTGTATCTGCAAGATTTTTGGCATTGCATTGCTCCCACATTATTGGCTGATTAGATATCTGCATGAATGTGCAGTTGTACAGGTGCTGCTAATAAAGTGGACAGTGAGTGTATATTGAAATAATGAACAGAAATATTAATCATAAACCAAAGCCTACACCGAAGGCCACCCTTATTAATCGCAGCTAAATATTCCAACATACAATTTAATAATTGTAATTTAGCAGTACGTGCTTTGGCATAGGTTAAAATTCAAACTTCTTGGAAGTTATAACTGCCACAAAGTTTAGGATTGAAAATCTCATCAGACTAACAGAATTTCTGTGATCACATTTATATGCATTACATGTTTATAATTATCTGGGTCCCTGGACGACTAGTGGTTAGGCCACAGCGCTCCCACCGACGCGGCCTGGGTTTGATTCCCAGCCAGAGAACCAAGCTTAGTGCAAAAGTGCACTCTCAGTGCCAGTCCCAAGCCTGGATAAAATTGGGGAGGGTTGCGTCAGGAAGGGCATCCGGCTTAAAAACTATGCAAAAATCAAACGTGCGGACAAATGATCTGCAGTGGCGACCCCTAACAGGAGCAGCCAAAAGAGGAACAACATGTTCATAATTATTTGATGGCCAATACAGATAATTACACACTGTATTTACTAAATCAATGACTGAAAACAATATGAAAGTTGAAAAAAATAAAGCTCCCGGTGAGAGCAGTGCTTGATGTACACAAAGAGGTTGCAACGTGCCATACTTGAAGTGTCACTTCTGGTGTAAAATATGTTAATCTGCTGGACTTTTAATGGAGTTGAATTAAACACACTTGAAAATACACAACCTCTCTTTCCCTGTGAGCTTCATGTCTGACCAGATGCTTCCACCCACATGAGAGTGAAAACCACCCACCTCCTAGACTTTTTTTCAGTCCCAGTGTGCACCTTTTCTTTTTCATATTTTCTCACTGTCTTCATGTGTTCGCAGGGCATAATACTTGAATAGTGATTTCAGTATTCGAATACTGGTGCCTAAAATAGTTCTGCAGATATTCATATACCCTTACACACCCATAGAGATATAAGTCTTCATGATTGCAATCTCACACACAAGCTATAAATCTTATGTAGTGTGTCATCCAACACAGTATCTCTTCATTTACACAAAATCACTCTTTTGTGTTACACACAATTTGTGTAAGATTGGCTTTGTACATCATACATCATGTTCATCTGCCTTTCATTGTCGCATATGCATCAAATTAACCCCTGTCACTAAATATATCTCCAAAAGTTGTCTCAAAAACTCATTTGTTTCTGATTAAAGCTACATTGTTCAGAAAATCACTGTAACCAGCTCACACAAAGGAGCAGCTTCTCTATCGCTGAGGGCAGAACAAAAGCAAGGCATTCCATGTTATTACCCACATTAATAAAAGAAAGATATAGTATTATGCCCTCTCTTATCTAGAGGAAAAGTGGGATCTCAGTGACCTTTCTCTCTCTACTAATCTCAAACAACGCTGTGACCTTTCCAAGGTTTGTGTTTAAAATTTCACAATGATGAATGACGTTCATCTCCACTGCCCACTGAAGCTCCAGAAAAACAGCAAGAACTTTCTGAAGGGTCTAAAATTAATGCACTAAGAAAGAAAGTGAGAATACCAATGTTGGGGAAAGTGGTACATAAAAGTTAAAGTTTTGGCATTTGTTTAATCATATTCCATGTGAAAAATGACAAATAAATAAATATACATATATATATATATATATATATATATATATATATATGGGTATAATGAACATGGTTTATGGGTATAATGAACATGGTCTGATGATAAGGTTGCTTGAGGTGCTATTAGCCAGGCAATCATCATCCAGGATATGTAAGGCAGCTGTGGTCAATCAATAGCCATGCTCTATTTAGGAGGAAAAACTATAAGATGTGGATGTTGTATGAATGCTCAGTAAGAGTAGTTAAATGTATGTGTATAAAACAGAAACGGTTTTTATTCATGCTCGTTGGTCTTACACTGTGTAAACATTCTGGCATATTAGAAAGTATTTAGCACAGTGGGAAGATAATATTCCATCTAATGTCAGATACCATTATCATTAAAAATTACTGACATTAGTTAGCTACATGCAATATGCTTAATAACATAAACCCTTCTGTCTAACGGGGACTGATCTCACATAGCAGACTTCAGGCTTTGGAAGGTGTGTGTGTGTGTGTGTGTGTGTGGACACATTTTTCTATCTTGGTGGGGACCAAATGTCCCCACAAGCATGGGAATATCTGTCAGTTTTGGCCTTGTGGAGGCATTTGGCTTCTCCACATGGAAAATGATTTTGTTTGTTTGTTTGCTTGTTTGTTTTTACAAAAAAATAGCAGCTTTTATTTAAAAAAATAGAAGAGCCAAAAAGCTTCGTTTTGGTTGCTGATGTTAAGATTACCCTTGATGGCACAACCCCAGTGACAGGGACATGTACTCTTTATCAATTATATTTATGTACTACATAACAATACTTTAAATAATTTACAACAAAAGGTAAGGTAAATGTAAGGTAAAATATCTTGTTGGTTTTCAGATACTTTCAGTTACCTCTTGCATTTTAGTTCTTGCAGGACACACTCAGAAAAATAAAATGCACTGAAAAGCATGTATGATTATTAGTTAGTCATTTATTGAGCTGCTTAATCAGCTGATAGAACTTCATAAAACCAAACAGTATTTGAGGTCACAGAATAAGAAAGTACAGTCTATGTTTGTCCTCTGTTCATAAATCCACTATCTAAATGTGTTAGAATGATAATAGTAAAAATTTAAAGAAATCTTGAAATGTAAGCATTGTGATGTAAACGTAGATTGCAGTACATTGGATTTTTTTTAGCTGGAATGTCTAAATTTTGATTATCTATATCTCAAAATAACTCTTCACCCAGACAAAACCCATAGCTGCAGGGCTAAACTACCTGTGAACTACCTAAAATGTTAAATTTTGAAAGAAGAAGAAGAAAAAAAAAAAAAAAAAAAAAAAAAAAAAAAAAAAAAAAAAAAAAAAAAAAAAAAAAAAAAAAAAAAAAAAAAAAAAAAAGCCTGCACATTCTCTACATTTCACTGTCCAGGAGACCTGCTCTTAAGAAGACTTGTTTAATGGCTGACTCTTTTAAAGGCTGAAAGAAAAAGTGGCAGTGGACTGGAGTGTCTGTACCAAGGGCCAATTCTATAAAGATGAATGACATGCCAGTTGCCAAAGCCATTTAATCTTGTTCACATTCTAGTTAATGCCGCTTGGGCTGATTTACGCCTGTAGCTATTGCACAAGAGGAACTATGAGTCATTTAGCTGAGCCTTACACACAGGCAAAAAAATGAAGACAGCGCACATTCTTTATAACAACCGAAAAAAGCAGACCTGCCGAATGGGTCAATTCTCATGTAGACCATTACTGTCTGACTGCCAGAGTGAAATACGTAGAGAGAGGGGTCCTATACTTATACACCAAATGCCCAGTGACCAGTCCTCTGCCTTCTTTCTCACTGAGCTCTATTTCTCCACAGCACTGTCCACTGCTATCAATGGAATTCTGAATCGAGTTGAACACTGATCTATCCATGGATGTGAAGATATCTTTTCAGAAATATCCCTGCAAGCACAAATTGTACAAAAATACTAACCAACATTATGTTGTTTTTTTTCCTCCACAATAATTCAACTTTTCATTTGAAGAAGCTCTTTATTCAGGGTTGAATTTAAATTTTGTCCTGGGTGACATTTATTATACAAGATTGAGGATCAGGGAAGTAGAATTTTGCTGTAATAAGACTGCATGCAGCCTTGAGATTTCAAGCAGAATTTAACTACTATAATAGCAATATACTATAATAATGCTGGAAAGAGTAAAAGAATTCTTTTAATAATCAGAGGCACAGGTTAAGTCTGGGCTGATGGGCATCTAATCAGTGAACAGTTTCCATTCCAGCCAACTCATAATTTCATGAACATCACTCATTTGGCTACATTTTGTTTTCGAAAGGTTTTAGCTCAGCAGTTACGCTCGTACTTGCATAGGAATAACATTCATAAAATCATTCAGTCAGAATTTAGGCCTCACAGTACTGAGATAGCATTGGTTAAAGTGGTAAATGACCTACTACTGGTATCCGATCAGGTTTGTGATCTCCTTGCTTGTGTTGCTTGACCTTAGTGTAGCTTTTGATAGAATTGATCATAATATTCTTCTACATGGACTAGAAAATGTTGTTGGGACTTAAGGGAATGGTTCTCTCCTGGCTCAGGTCTTATTTGACTGATCATTATCAGTTTGTAGATGTAAATGGTGACTTCTCTATTCATACTTAAGTAAAGTTTGTTGTTCCACAAAGCTCTGTTTTAGGCCCACTGATTTTCTTTCTATAAATGCTACTTCGGGGTACAATTATTCATAAACATGGTATTAGTTTCCACTGCTATGCTGATGACACACAGCTGTATGTTTCAGCACAGACAGATGACAAACCTCAGCTTAACAAAGTTGAGGAATGTGTAAAGGACATTAGACACTGGATGCTCAGTAACTTCCTCCTACTTAATTAGTAAATTAAGTAACTTAATTTACTTAATTAGTAAATTAATTAGTAGAAGTAAGCTTTCTGATTATGTAGTAATTCTGTTACAGTCATATGCAGCAGTGAAAGACCTTGTTATGATTATTGACTCCAGGCTCTCATTTGAAACTCATGTAGATAATATTAATAGGGTAGCCTTTTTCATCTCAGAAATACTGCTTAGAAAAGAAATAAGATGTCATTACATGATGCAAAAAAAATGAGTTCATGCTGTTCATGGTACCTCTAGGTTGGACTATGGCAATGCCTCTGGATGTTCCAGTAGGTGCATAAGCTACAGTTAGTCCAGAATGCAGCAGCTAGAGGAGTTAGTGGAATCAGAAAATTTGCCCATATGACCCCTATCTTAACCACACTGCACTGGCTCCCAGTAAAATTTTGCATTGCTTATAAAATATTACTAATGACCCATTAGTATAACTTTTGGTCTTTTATAATCCATCACCCTTGCTTCGTTCAAAAGGTGCAGGCCCTTTGTTGGTATCTAGAATAATGAAGCCTACAGCAGGGGGCAGAGCTTTTTCTTACGAAGGCCCACAGGTGTGGGACAGCCTTCCAATTAGTGTTCAGGCTTCAGACACAGTCTCAGTATTTAAGTCTAGACTGAAAACCTACAGTGTGTGTGTTTATTCAGGCCTTTTGTAAATAGCTTTTCTCTTAGATAAACGTGCAGATATGGAGGGTTTGATGTTTCGATGCTCCCCCCGCCTCACTTTCACGCTTTCAACTTAGGTTTGTTGATGGTGGAGTGGCTGACCACTTCCTGTCGCAGTGTGCTCTAATGCCTATGTTAGCTTTTGGCTATGCTGTC